TAGTCAGGGATTTCAATTCTCACCATCTGCCCTGAGGTGGGCACTCAGAGCCGTGAGCCACTCCAGACAGCATGACAGGGATCATGAGATCAAATAGTTTGACCTTCTGTAAACAGCTGCATAGAGCCTAATAACTTGAGTTTGACGTAAGCATCACTTCCAGAAAGGCATCCGGTCAAGACAGGAAGACTTTAAGAGATGCAGAATGCACCATTTCCCTGGTAGTTTGTTCTGATGGTTAATCACCCCCCCTGTTAAAAACCTGGGCCTTATTTCTGATGTGAATTTGTCTGGTTTCAGCTTCCAGCCATCGACTCTTGTTCTGCCTTCCTCCATTAGATTAAAGAGCCCTTTAGTAAGTGTATGTTCTCCTTGTGAAGGAACTTATGCACTGTAATCAAGTCACCTCTTGATCATTTTGATAAGCTAAACAGATTCAGCATCTTAAATCTCTCAATGCAAGGCTTTTATTAAAGCCATTAGATCACTTTTGTGGCTCTTCTCTGCTCCCTCTCCAATTTTTTCTGGATATCAGAACTGGACACAGTATTCCAGTATCTATCTCAGCAGTGCCATACACAACAGTAAAATTTAGTCCTCCCTCCTACTCACTACTCCCCTGTTTATACATCCAAGGTTCACATTAGCCCATTTTGCCACACACGGCACTGGGAGCGCATGTTCAGTTATTTCTCCACTGGGACCCTAAATCCTTTTTAGTCACTATTTGCCATGATACAGTCTCCTTCAGATACCTGAGACGCAGCATTCTAACATTAGGGAAATCTTGCAATATCTCCAGTAACGCTGGGTGGGAGCTGAGGACTTTCTAATGATTGGAGACATTGGTAGGTAGTTATACAAGGGAAAGGGAGGCAGAAACAGTCAGGTAGAGTATCATTCACAGTGATCTGCATAAACATCTGCCCCCTTCATTAAATCCCTCACAAGAGCATTCACAGAACAGACCTGAGCAGAGAACTCCCGCATCCTCTTTGAGTCTGCAGTTGTGCTGGCCCCAGCCCCTAGAAGGACACGCCCAGAGATCGGACTCATTCCCAGAGCAGTTCACATCATCCAGCCAGATCGGCCCGGATCCTTGCCCATAATGAGCAGAGACAGTTGCATTGATGGCATGTCCACATCCCAGTTGTTTGCAAACAACATTGGAGTCTAACAGATCCCAGGAATCATCACAGACTGTCCCCCAGCTGCCATTGTAATAAATCTCCACTCTCCCGGCACAGCGACCTGCCCCATTCACCAGTCTGATCTGTCTGCTCCCTGCAGAGATAAATCCCAGCTGTTAATATGTATTTTCCTACTGAACAGAAACTGTTTGTGAGATTTGGAAATGAATCACCTGAGCAAACAACTCCAACGTCCTCAGCAATTCCTGCCTGGGCTGCCTCAGATGTGGATTTGTCACAGAGAGTCAGATGAGTCTCATTTCCTGCACACTGGACCCTTCTCAGCCCCACAGGGCCCGTTCCTTGCTCAGACTTAGGGGGGTTATAAGCTTTCTCAGCGGCTCCGCACTGGAGCTGCCTGCACACCACGCTGGCATCGTCTATGTCCCACTGATCATCCAGCACTCTGCTCCACACACCACGGAGGGAAATCTCAACTCTCCCGTCGCACCGGCTCTCTCCATTCAGCAGTCTGAGTGATTCAGAGTGACCTGGGCTCAGGAGAGATGGGAAACACACTGAATAACACTCCTGGTTATATACTAGAAATAATGCACAGTGTGTAAGAAATTATGAACTGTTTCTAACTCAGAGGATGCCACATAGTTAAAAGGAGTAACCTATGCAGAAAATGTTGGTTTTTTGAATCTCTAAGTGGAGGGTGCTATAAGGATTGTAACACACTGCTGGGCAGAGTGGCTTGTTAGCATATCCTGGGAGATGCTAGGCTCACAGCTACACTCTATTTTTTAGTGTGCCAAGTTCCTTGAGCTGGGAATTACATGCCCAGCACGGAGTGTAGACATATCTGTGGCCCAGGGAGTTCCCCAGAGCCAACCCTCAGAGCACACTCCATACCACAACTCTCTTCTGGCCTGACACGCTCATTGCCCTAAGCCACAGGTGTTGAAATCGGCATCTAAAAGGTGTTGTGTTATGCAAACTGCTATCACACCGGTCATTCATATTGTTGTGTGATGCATGAACGGGTGAGGTTTAAAGAACGATAGATGTGTGCTGGAAATATGTTCCTATAATGTGTGCCTAAGCCCAGGTGTCCTAAACAAAGGGCTGTTGTTTCGCTGGCTTAACTGTCTCCAATGTAAATTAAGCAAGGTGAGAGCAAAGAGAAAGAAAAGTCCATGTACATGTAAAGTAAACAGAGCCATTGGGCAAACAAGTAGGGGACGATGACCCCTTAACAATCTTGATGGGGGATGGAGGCTGCACCCCCAGGAAACCTTCCTGCCTCTTCAAACAGGGTGAATGAACTTTGGGAAGATTTGAGCAGAGGCAAAAAGCCATTTTGTTATCTGTCACCTCAGGGTCAAAGGGGGAGCAGCGCCCTTTGAGCTCATGTAAAGTGGATCTTCTTGGTCTGGAAAACAAGAGTAGCTGGAACTGACTAGGTGAAAAATCTGCTTAGACAGAGACTGTAACTTGATGGAGTTACGCTTTAGTCACTAGAAAGCATGTTTTGTTTTGTTTTACTTATTATACCTGTGTCTTCTATTCCTAATTATTATTCCTTAAATATTTGTTCTTTGTTAATAGATTCACTCTAGTTTTATTACAAAACCATCCCAGTGCTCTGTAGAAAACTGAAGGTAAAATCCTCAGCCAAACTA